TTACAATTTTTTTTTTTTTTTTTTTTTCTTGGATGGGTGGGGTGATTTAGATGACCTGAGGGAAAACCAAACAAAGCCAGCAAACAAACCAAACGTGCTCTGGTGGCTGGAGAGGTGACTCTGCTGTCCAAGTGCTCACTGCTCTTCCAGAGAACCCAAGTTTGGTTGCTACGACTCACACCAGGCAGGCGACAACTGCTTTCTAGCTCCAGCTCTAGAGCGTCCAGAACTCCACTGACACTGCAAACACTGGACTCAGTGCAAACCCTACTGAAAAGCGTGCATAGCTCCCTCAATAAAAAAATCTTTTTTTAAACAGGTTTTTTTTTTCTGTGTAGAGCGTAGACCAGACTATCCTTGAACTCAGAGATCCACCTGCCACCATATCTGACAAAAATCTTTTAAAAAAGATTTATTTATGTATTGAGTGCTCTATTTGCATGTATACCTTTATGCCAGAAAAGGGCATCAGATCCCACTATAGATGGTTGTGAGCCACAATGTGGTTGCTAGGAATTGCCAGCGCTCTTAGCAGTTGAGCCATCTCTCCAGCCCCCAATAAAATCTTAAACTGTCATAGTCTCAGCACACAGGAGGCCATGTAGTCCCAGGTCAGTTTAAAAAACAAAACTGAACACAATACAGGGCTACTTTCAAATGTTTTTTCCCTGAGTTCTAAATTTTATTCTTATTATAGTCATGTTATGATATACTATGACAAAGTCTATCATTTTCAAATCTTTGTTAAGTACTGACCCTTTTAAGAAAGGTGAATCACTTTACCCATAAAGCAATTCCCCTGCTGGACTTAGGTAGCAAATATGGGGTCCCATTTCATCTGCCCTCTCACACCACACTCCCAAATCTCCTTTCCACTGTCAATGTCTGGTGTAGACAAGAGACTTTGTACAGTGCCTTCAGCACTAACTACAGTCACCATAAGGTTCTCTGAAAGTCATCCTTAGAAATTAACCATGAGGGCTGGAGAGGGCTCAGTGGTTAAGAGCACTGCCTGCTCTTCCAAAGGTCCAATTCCCAGTACCAGCATGAGATCTGGTGCCCTCTTCTGGCTGCAGGAATACATGCAGACAGAACACTATACAAAAACTAATGATGACAGTTACTAAGCAATCTTTGCTGTTTTTCAGAGAAATTTGCTGATGAAATTTAAATAAGCATCTAGCTTGTTTTGTAGATTTTGTTTGTGAGTAAGTCAGTGGTCAACCTTGGGCTTGTGCCTCAGACATTGCTTGTCCTGGTTTTGGAGACAGGGTCCCTCACTAACCTGTAACACCCATTATGAGGCTAGAAAGCAGCTTCTGCCTATTGTCACCTCTGACTTTAACAGGGACACTAAGCATCCAGCTTGGGCTCTGCTCTCCTCTGTGTATGGTGATTTCTTTGGCACTGAACACATCATGTCACCACTCTTGCCCCAGTTACGCTTCTTTACAAACAGCCATGTCCAAATCTTAAATCTCTGCTAAGGTTTAAGCTTAACAAATTCATTTCCCGAATTTGTCAACACCGTATTATCAAAAAACAAACAAAAAACCCTTACAAATAACCAGAAACAAAAGAAACTCTGTCTCCAAGTCATACCCCAACTTCTATCATGTTCTATTAGCAATAGAACCAAGAACAAGGAAGGAATGACTCTGCAAACTGAACTTACTGTCTCCAAAGCTATCGTCGCCCCTTCTAGGTGGGTAGTCATCAAAGCTGTCTGCGGCAGGACGGGCCCTCCAGTCCGTGTCTGTTTTGTCAGAATCCCGATTTCTGTCTCGACCAAAAGAGCGATCATCCCGGTCTGCAGAGAAAAACAAGTTAGCTAACTTCTCACGTAGCCTCATACCACATCTCACTGACTTCTACTCTCTACTGTGCTGGCCCAAGTCTTGCAGTTGCCCTAAGTAACTGATGGATTCTTTCTTCAAATGTTTTCATTAATGTAATATTTACTCTATTTCACAGTATAGCTTAAGCTGTTATATAGCAAATCTAATTATTTAATTTAAGGTCCAATTAGGCTAGTGCTTTGAGATCTTTTTAAAATATATAATTTATATTTTTTTTATGTTCATTGGTATTTTGCCTGCGTGTATGTCTGTGTAAGGGGGTCAGAAGCCCTGGAACTGGACTTATAGGCAGGTGTGAGCTGCCATGGGGGTGCTGGAAATCAAACCCGGGTCATCTGGAAGAACAACCAGAGCTCTTAACCCCTGAGCCATCTCTCCACTCTCAGAGCTTTGAAATCTAAACCTAGTAACAGTTTGAGTTGGGAATTCTTTGAAGTAGAGATACATAAATTAGATCATCAGTAATAATAGTTCCTTCATCGTGGCAAATCTCCTTTAACACTGCCTAAAGTCCCCAAGGAGCAAAACTGGGTGAGAACCGTTACTATAGGACTCACTACTTCCCTGGGCTACCTGGTAAACCCGGAATATTCTACCAGTTTCCTCACCTTTATCCTGTGCTTGATCAGCAACATCCACTCGAATTCTCCGGTTACCTAGAGACTGAGAACACAGGACCCTGTTAAATGACCCTGTTGACTTAAAAAACAAACAAACAAACAAAAAAAAACCCCCGAAAACTGAAATAAATTCAAAAGAACAGAGTTGGCTTTAAATGACTACAAAGCCCATCATCTCTCTGCTTCTCAAGCCTGACCCATACAATGGAGTTCACTCTAGCAGTTTGTTGGGCACTGAAAGCAGCTCTCAATCAGCTAACTGCTTACAATTACAGCCCGCAGGAGGCAGAGGCAGGAGCTACTCTAGGTCCCAGCCTATAGTGTATAGAAAGAGACACCCAGGGCTGGAGAACTGGCTCAGAGGTTAAGAGCATTGCTTGCTCTTCCAAAGGTCCTGAGTTCAATTCCCAGCAAACCACATGGTGGCTCACAACCATCTGTAATGAGGTCTGGTGCCCTCTTCCGGCCTGCAGGCATACACACAGAAAGAATATTGTACACATAATAAATAAATATTTAAAAAAAAAAAGAAACACCCAGTTTTTTTCTTGGGGGGGAGGGGAGTTGTGAGAGAAAGACAACTAAAATGCAGCCAATTGGAAGGCGGGTGGTGACACACACTTTTAATCCCAGCACTTGGGAGGCAGAGGCAGATCTGTGAGTTTGAGGCCAGCCTGGTCTACAGAGTCAGTTCGAGGACAGACAAGAGTGGCCAGAGTGGTTACAGAGAGACCTTGTCTCAGGAAACAAACAAACAAACAAACACCCACCCACCAAACAAAAAGATACAACTAATCTAGCATGATTAGTACCGAAGGAATTTCACCCACACAGCAGCCAAACAGCCAAGACCACTGTCTACAACCTTATTTTCTTTCACTCAATTTTATTTTCCCATACCCTGACTTCCCTTTCTAAATCACCCTTTAATACTGGTCAAAGGTGAGATTAACAGGTATGAAGCAGTGTGTCTGGCTGTCCCGAGAAACTTTTCCCACTATCTGATACAGACCACGGCGTCCAATCACTATCCAGGAAAGTATTTCTAAGAGCTGTTTATTACAACCCTACCAAATGGTAGGTCAGACTATGGAATGTGGCATAGGAAATGGGTTCTCAAGTAATTAGGGGTTTCTGGGGTTAAACACCCCAAAACCTGAAAAACAAAAACCCCACTGAGTGTTGGTGACACACGCCTTTAATCCTAGCACTTCCAGGACAGCTACAACAGTTACACAGAGAGGCTCTGCCTTGAAAAACAAAACTCCTATTAAACTGACTTTTCTATCTGTGTTTATTAAGGCATTTTGGCTTGACAAAATAAAACTCTAGAGCTGAGACAAAGTAATGCATAGGTTTATTAGAAACCTGGTACACAGCTGGGTGGCAGCGCACGCCTTTAATCCCAGCACTCGGGAGGCAGAGGCAGGTGGATCTCTGTGAGTTCGAGGCCAGATTGATCGTCTACAAGAGCTAGTTCCCTGCACGACAGGTCCCAAAGCTACAGAGAAACCCTGTCTCAAAACAAAAGAACCTGGTACATGACCCTTTCTTCCCTAAAATTCCATCAAGTCTCCCCCTAATTAACGGAAATTTCTGTTGTCCAATTAACATGAAGTCACTCGGTTTGGTTGATAAGCAAAGCACACACCCTGCACCCCCGCCCTTACTGTTTTACTGTTTCTTTACCTCTTCATTGAGACTCAGAGCACTGAGCAGGGAATCCAGGTCCTCAAATTCAGCATAGCCAAAGCCTTTTAACCTGTCTGGATTGCTGGGTTCACGTGGTAAGCGTACAGCACTGATCTGAGAGGATAAAGGAATAAGTAAGAGGGGAAAACAACAACCAACCATAGTACATCTGTAACTAATTTCTTTGAAGGACATACAAGAAGAACCTGAAAGTCGCGGGAAAAACTGGTATAAAAGGATAGAAGACAAACTATTATATCTTTCAAATCATATTAACTTAATCCCTAAAACAATTAATTAGCTTACTATCCTCGCCATCTCAGAGTCTAACATTGTTAAGACACTCACATTTAGTCCTCTAAAGAACTCCTTAATGGAGTCTTCTGTCACATCATAGGGCAGGTTTCCTAGGAAAGCAGTGTAGGGTGGTGATTTGGGAAGACGGCTCCGGTCGATATTGGGTTCCCGAGCAGCCCGTGGAGCAGTGGGAAGGATGGAACGGTCAATTGGAGGTGCCCTATACACATCGTCATCGTTACTATGCCAAGTTGTTGACACTAGGATAGAAGAACAGACAAAAGGAATTAGGAAGCTGGGCATGGTAGAGCACCTGGGAGGCTGAACAGTAGGACTGACAAGAGTTCAAGGCCGCCTGGGTTCCTGAAGGAGACAGTCTCCAACAACCCTGACCCAGGCAGGCAGAGGGGCAGAGACTAGCTCCGACCAGCCTGGCATTCCAGTCGGCTATATAAAGAGATCTTGTCTCAACAAACACCACCCATACAAGATTAAAACAAAAATTAAGAGGAATACTCCCTTAAAACTAGTGTCACAGAACCTAAAATTCATGCTTACACCAGCCCAAGCCATTAATGCAAAAGACAAAAAAAAAGGGTATGCTTCAGCAACATAAAAAGTCAAAGAAAATGCTTCTAAGGTGTTACATCAAGAGTGAACAGAGTGGGGCTGGAGAGATGGCTCAGCAGTGAAGAGCAATTGTTCTCGCATGTCTCAGGTTTAATTCCCAACACCCATATATGGCGGTCTACAACCATCTGTAAGCCCAGTTCTGGGGGATCCAACAGGTACAAAGTAACGACCACTTATGTCTTTTTTTGTTTGTTTTTGAGACAGGGTTTCTCTGTAGCTTTGGAGCCTATCCTAGAGGTACCTCTTGTAGACCAGGCTGGCCTCAAACTCACAGAGATCCGCCTGCCTCTGCCTCCCTGGGATTAAAGGCATGCGCAGCCACCACTGCCCGGTCCTTATGTCTGTTTTTATGTACACCAAGATGACTGGCTGATAGTTCTTCCATTCCTACTATTGGGCTGGACCCTGTATTTTCTGCCCTCCCCCTCCCCCTTTGTTTTTTGGAAACACAGTGTTGTGTAGCCTAGACTTGAGGTCCCCCTGTCTCCACCCTCCCACTGTAGGGATTACAGGTATGTACCACCTCACCAGGCTTTCTTTAGGGTTTATCATCCCCTCAAACCCAAACAAACAATACCAACTATCCTAGTCCTGGTCCCTGAATTTGTATTTAGTTCCAACATTTAGAGAAGGTATAAATTGTATGAAATTTCCTATATTTATTTTAAACATGGGTCACACAAAGTAATCAGTTTGTAGTAGTTTTAAGAGAAAAGGAAGAAACAAAGAAAGGAAGTTAAACTGATGATGTCCTATTATAAAAAAGTCCTGAGGTGGTGGTGCATACCTGTAATTCTAGTACAGGGAGGGTGGGCTGGAGAGATGGCTCACTGGTTAAGAGCACTGACTGCTCTTCCAGGGGACCCAGGTTCAATTCCCAGCACCCACACGGCAGCTCATTAACTATTTGTAACTCCAGGATCCAACACCCTCACACAGACAAAACACTATAAAAAACAAAACAAACAAACAACCCCTTTCAGTACCCGGGGAGCAGATCTCTGAAAGCTTGAGGTTAGTCTTGTCTATATAGCAAGTTCCAGGCCAGACAGGGCTACATAGAGACCTTGTCTAAACATATATAACAAGAGAAATACACATACCCCAACAAAACAAAGCCAGGCATGGCAGTGCAAGCCTTTAATCCCAACACTCCAGAGGCAGATGGATCTCTATGGATTTTAGGTCAGTCAAGGCTGAATAGTGAGATGAAAAGAACTCCCCACACCAATCAATCAATTAAAACACCACAAACACCAAACTAGCTTCAGGTTCCTTTTAGATTTAAGATTTTCTCCTCTTAAATTATGCTGTGATATAATCTGTTAAATTGTGTACTCAGGAGCTGCTGGCACCAAGCTGAAGTGGAAACAGACTGAGGGGAAGAAATACAGAACAGCTTTGTCAGAGCAGGCAGTAACAGACAAGCCCTGGGATTAAAGCTGTGCACCACCACACCTAGCTACCTTTTTTTTCTTTTTTTTTTTTTTTGCTCCAGGTTTTCTCTGTGTAGCCCTGGCTGTCCTTTCTGTCTCCTAAGTGCTGGGATTAAAGATATATACTACAACCACCTGGGCAGCTACAGAGTTTTAGTGCAGCAGCCAGTAGCTGTTCTGGAAGTTCACTTCAGTTTGAGAGCCAAACCAGAGAGTAAATGTGACACCCCAAAACAAACAATTTCAGGCTCTACAAAGAAAGAACCTTTCCAATCATAAGTGAGGCAAATTATGAAATGATTGCGAAACAGTGAAAATTTAAGCATGATGGTTCTAAGGACAATTGACAAAGGCACATTACCATCGCCTTCCAGGTCGTCTGTTTCATCAGCCCAGCTGACTGGTTTGGGGACATAGGTGCTTCCTCCACCAGTACCCCCATCCTCAGCTAGAAAGTCTGTTAGGGAGATGGTCTTCCCCTTCTTATTCTTCTTTTTTGCTGAAAAGAAAGACAGATTATATTCAGTGACACTCAAATATTTAGATCCCCCCACCCCCAAGACAGAATTTTTCTATGTAGCTTTGGCTGTCTTGGAACTTGCTCCAACTTAGCCTGCCTCCCAAGTGTACCACAAGTATTTAGACTTTTATCCTGAACCATTAAAGACATTCTAAAGAAATCAACAAAGACGGCCAGATGACTGAATTATGATATTCACAAAGAATATTATGCAGATATTAATGTAGACCAAGTACAACATAATAGTGATGGTTTGGAAGAAATGAACCCCAAAGGGAGTAGCACTATTAGGAAGTTTGGCCTTGTTGAAGTGTCTCACTGTGACGGGCAAGCTTTTCTCAAGCTTCACTCAGGTGTGATTGGTAGTCATGCCACCAAGATGTAGCAGTCCCAGTTCTAGCACATTTGCCTGCATACCGCCATGCTGCCTGTCATGATCCTAACAGGCTGAGCCTCTGAAACTTTTAAGTAAGCAAGCCACCCTCAATTAAATGCTTTCTTTACAAGAGCTTGCCAAGGTCATGCTGTCTCTCCACAGCTATAATAAACCATAACTAAAACCGTCAAGGAAGTTAAGTGTAATAGCTATGTGGGAGGCTGAAGAGGAGGACAGTGCGCAAGACAGCAAAGGTGAAGGGAAAGGTAAATGTAGCATGAAGTCCTGGCTTCAGTCCTTAGCACTATATAAACTGGATGTGGCAGGATACACTTGAAATGCTAGACTCAGCTGGTAGAGGCAGGAAGATCAAGAAGTTAAAAGCTATCTTCAGATACATGGTAAGTCTGAAGCTAGCCTGGAATATATGAGACTCTGTCCCACAAAACTAATATAACAAAGAGAGAGAAAATGCTTATGTATATACATATATTTAGGTACAGAAAGAGAAAGAGTAAGTTGAAAAAATAATACCCCCAGGAAATAAGGTTGTTTTCTACGGTGTGTTTTCCACTTGCCCAGGGCCTCACTTACAAGAAAGGCAAAGGCTTACTTACTACTGAGCCCCATTTCAAATTTTTAGCTGGGCAATGGTGGCAGAACCAACAAAAGGATCTGAGTTTGAGGCCAACCTGGTTGACAGAGAAACTTTGTTTAAAAACAAAAAACAAAACCACCCGCCCTGCAAAAAACTGGGGAAATTTTTAGTAATTTTAATTTAGAAACTACTTAAATAAACTTGCTACGCAAACCATGATAACCATGAGTTCAGAGATCCATCACCTGCTCCTGCCTCACCATGCCTGCAATAAAGTACTTTCTAAAAAAAACAAAACAGACTGGAGAGATGGTTCAGTCACTGAAAGTATTTGCTGCCCTTCCAGAAGACCTCAATTTAGTTCCTAGCACCCATAGTTACCATAACCACCCATAACTCCAGGGAGTCTAGCACCTTCTACATTCCTCAGAAACACACAAACATGCAAGCAAAATAGTTATATAGACAAAACAAATCTAAACATTGAACAAACATGCTAGTACATTCTCGGCTCCTTAAATACACAGATAAAAGACAAAGCTCCCACCCCATATATAACATACTACATATGGCACTTTGTGTATATTGTTTACCTGCTAAATAAACTATGAAGGAAAACACATAAAATCTATCTAGAGAGAAGGGCAGTAAATCTCGGGTGTTTTCCTAGCACACGCAGGGCTCTTCCCACACCACCAAATACGGGGTCACATCTTCTATGGCAGGTTAGTATAGCCATGGTAAATTTTCTGCTTCCTCAGTGGTATTTGAAAGCATTTGATTAGTTAAGAGACTTATAATACCCCAACTCTCTGTACCCTTAAGAACCTAAGAAGCAGCTGGGCACTTGGGAGGCAGAGGCAGGCGAATCTCCATGAGTTCGAAGCCAGCCTGGTCTACAAGAGCAAGTTCCAGATCAGGCTCCAAAGCCACACAGAGACCCTGTCCTGGAAATCCAAAAACAAAAACTTAAACCGTGATACAACAGTTAACTCAGAAAAGGACCAAGAAACTAGCAAAGTCACCACCATGCCAAACCAAATCAACAACAAAACACCACATGGCTGGGTTGGCACTGGCCTGTAATCTTAGCATGGAGGCTGACGCAGGATGATTACAAGTTTGAGGCCAGCCTTGGTAAAAAGTGACTGTTCCCCCTCTCCGAAAGTTAAGCAACTTTGCTGTATCAACGTTGTTGAAACAGGCTCTCACTATGCAGCCTCTAGAGCTCCCTATATAGAGCTCTACCTACATCTCCCAAGTGCGGGAACAAAGGGAGGTGCCACCATGCCTAGGGGCTTCATGGTTTTTAGCAACCATGAATTCTTCCTCCACCTTCCAATTTTCAACTCAAGAGGAATAATCTAACTTGAAACACCAATACTTAATAGAAAGCTGCTTTCTCAAATTCAACAGTCAAAAAATAAAGGTGTCCTGCTAGCTATGAAAGCCAGACAGCATTATGGACATAGTTAACAACAACCTCAAGTATTATGGGTTGAATGCTCAAACCAAATGAACATGCCACAAAAACAGAGAAGATGGCTATAAATCAGCAGTTTAAAGCACTAATGTGACCCTAAAACTGACAGTTTATCAGCCGTACCACATGATTCTTTCAGTTCCTTCTGTTCCTCTGAATTAGTATTGACTGTACCAAAACTCAAATTCTAAGGACAGAGTGTCAAGCTCTGGCCACTGAATTAAGCTACAGTTGGGAACTTTTCTGTTTGAAAAGAGTTAAGCAGAAGGTTCTAAAGCACTCACACTGCTCCCTCCAATTCACATGAAGACACCTTTAAGTTTGCCACCCATTCAATGAGACAAGAAGATTCATGCAGTCCTGGTTGGTCACTAACTGTACCAGGTAGCCAAGGATGAACCTAAACCTCTAGTTTTCTTGCCCCAACCTCCTCTTCCCTTAGTGTTGTGATCAAAGGCATGCAACACAACACCAGGCTGATATAGTGCTGAGGACCGAACACAGGGGCTTTGTGCATGCTAGGCCAGAGCTAACAAACAATAAGATCACCTGAATGTGATACAAGAACTTTAATTTACTTCATGTATTACAGATATTTATTTTGTCCGACTTTACTGCTCCATAAGCATGCCCGATGCCTGCTGAAGCTAGTAGAGCGCCTCGGGTCCCCTGCAAGGTATTAAGTACTCTTAGCCCCGCCATCTCTCTAAGCCGCAGTATTTTAGTCCTGGTTTTATACTTTTTAATTAAAAAGAAAGTACCTGGAGTTAGAATGATTCTTGACAGAGCCTAATTTGGCTACTAATATTATTAGCTATCTGTTCATTATCCTATTTCAGTGACTCAGAGAAAACAGTGGTGGTCAAGCCAAGACTATCAAGTTCAACAGAATAGTAATTAAGGTATCTCCCTCCTTTCCCACTGTTTTGTATACATTATCTTATACCAAAATACAGCATAATTTGGAATTAATCTACCCTCTGAAATGATCTGGCTTAAATCAACTTGTTTCAATTACTAAAACTAAGCCCAATCCAACCAGATTATACAACTAAAGCTCTTTTTACCTATCTGTTAAGTTAAACTTAAATCACCTCCCAAATTAGTTTTAAAGCATATAAGACTATATTAGAGACCATATATTGGGGGAGGAAGCTAGTGGTTCCCGCCAACCTGGAATTTAAGATTCTCCTGGTTTTCCGGGTGTAAGATAGGTGTGCACCACACCCTGCTGCATCTTGCTTTATTATGCAGTACCGTGAATTGAATCTAGGGCTTTACCTGTACTAGGTAAGTAAGCACTCTACTGCTGATTTATAGTGCCTGCTGTGGTCCAGCAAGATTGTCACAAAAAGATACAACAGAAGAATAAACTTAAGGAGCTAAATAAATAGCTCAGAGGCTAAGAGTCCTTGGCTGCCCTTCTGGGGAACCCTGGTTTTATTCCCAGCACCCAGAAAGAAGCTAACACCCTCTAACTCAGTTCCAAGGCAATTGATGCCTCCTGGCGTCTCTAGGAACTGCAGGTACATGGCAGATCAACACAGAAAAACACCCATACACACAAAATAAATCTTGACTTAATCCTAGCACTCTGGAGGCAGAGGCAATCAGATCTCAAGGTCAGCTTGGAGAGTTCCAGGACCTCAAGTTTTACACAGAGATTCCTGTCTTAAACAAACACCAAACCAACCCAAAATAAACAAAAACCACTCAATCTTGAAATGGGGGGGGGGTTCAGCTTAATTCTTAAATCAGGATCTTTCCCAACTTTTCCTCTCCCCTTAACACCCTCCCTACCCTTTTGAAGCAGTATCTCACTGTGTAGCTCTGGCTGCCTCTGACTCCTGAGCACTGAGATAATAGCATTTGCTATTGAGTAGTTCGAACTTTCTATTGGTTTTCTGGATTGTGCTAGGAAGTCAAGCACATGGCTTCATGCATGTCAGATAAGCACGAACCACTGAGCTCCATCTGTAGTCTGAGAAACACTGCTCAAGTGACATTTTCACCTCAATAAATACAAGGCCCAGGAGAGGAGCAGGCAGGGAAGGCTGAAGGCCAGCCTGGGCCAGAGAGACTCCACTTGGCTGTGTGTGTGTAAAAAGTAAATCAAAACTTAGGGAGGATCAGGCAGTATGAGCAACAGAAGGAGTCTCATAGCTGACCCCCCCCCCCAAGTGTAAGCAACTAGCTTATTTGCTTATGGCAACCGTACTTCTGCATCTTTTGTCTCTGGGGTGGGGTAGGAGAGACAGAGACTCACTACGTAGTCCTTGGCTGGCCTGAAACTCATGAAAATCTGCCTGTCAAGTGCTAGATTTAAAGGCAAGCCTTAAAACACAAACAGTTCCCCTGTGATCTACATCTCAAGATTATACACATACACACACATTTTTTCAACTGAAACACTTTTCCTTCTATTGACAATACTTTGTAGAATTTGACTCCATACAGTTTTAGTCTTGGTCATCTAAATCTAAGTATCCTTTTACAGAATGGGATATAAAAAAGGTAATTGTATACATGAAACTACAGCCTTTGATCAGCACTTTGTGAAAACAACCATTAACAGGATCCTCTCACTACAAACCCAAAGAAATGCCGTTCACACACTACCTATAACTTTAGTGTAACCAATTATCAAATCATAATATCAAAACATTCTGAGTCCTATTGCCAAATGGTCTGCAAATAAACTGTACATTTATAAATGAAAACGCTCAGACTAGGCAAAGAGTAGATCACTTTATTAACTCAAATAGCCACAACAGAAACTCGAGGCAGGATCTTACTGCATTCATTCTAGTCTGGAACTCATGGCAGTTTCAACTTCCTGAGTGCTGGATGACAGAGGTAAGCCACCATATTGTGCTAAAACCTTGTAGTATTCTTAAAGACATTATCTAACTTGGATCCTCATTTGTCAGTTCAGACACTAAGATGCTGAAGGGGTCACACGGGAACTGGTATTGCCTCAGAAAATTTTGGTCTTACTAAATAGTGATTAAGTTGTATCTGGTATTTTCACAGAGAACCCAGACCCATTTCCAACTTTGGGTACACTAGCTACTAAAAGCCGGTGTAACCTGAGAAATGTGGTCAACTCCAAAGGCCAAGCAAGAGGTAAACTAGTGCTGAGACAACAAATCGAGCTATATTGCCTGAGCTGAATCTAAAGAGGGAGCCTTCTGGGAGGGTAACAAATGTGGGCGAAGAAGGGGCGGAGACATTACTAAGCCAACTTTTAAAAAGAGTGTGAGTTGCACAAGAGTGAAACCAAAGACAGAGCTCACTGGATGTCTCTTTATTTTTTGACTGTTGTTTGATAGCACACAAGTCAGAGGACAACTTGGAGGATCTGCTCTCACAACCACCATGTGGATTCTGGGAACTAAACTCAGTCCAGCTATGATGCCATCCACCACTAGGACTTCATAAAAGGGAAAACCACCCAGTCTCTCAGTTAAGATACTAAAGTGATAAGGGAGCAAATCGAGGCCACTGAGATTTTTCACCAACTAAAACAGTTTTCCAAGTTTTAGATGTTTCTCAACATCAACTCGCACTTGGCGTGACTATTTACTACTTCCCATCTTAATGAGCACAAGAACCTGGAGTCTCCAGATTTGGCCCTGCTGTTACCAAGAGCGCATTTTCTTCAGCTGTGAGAAACCACCAATTCTCTCTTTACATCTCACAGGCTTTTTCTGTTAAGTGCTATACTAACAAAAGCTGTTATGTTCAGGGATGGGGCTGTAGCCTAAAGGGGTGGTGGTGCACGCCTTTAACCCCAGCACTCAGGCAGAGGCAGGCGGCTGTGAGTTTAAGCTCACCCTGCTGTACGAAGCCAGGACAACCAGGACTATACAGTGAAACCTTATCTCCAAAACCAAAATTTAACAGGGGGGGAGGGGGCAGGGGAAGTGCTTGCTTACCACGTCCAAAGGTTCAATGTTCTACAATATTAGTGGGGGAAATAAAATTCTTATGCCCAAATGCATCTAAATTTGGCGACCTCTTCCCAAAGACAATCATAACCCTAGATCGCTTGTAAAAATATAAAAGATGTGTTTTCTAATAAAGAAACTGAGTGTTTCCGGGTATGGGGTCGAACAGGTTTAATTCCAGCATTTGGAAGACAGAGGCAGGAGGACCTGAGTTGGAGGCTAGCCTAGTCTATGAGGTGGGTAAGGATAGTCAAGGATACCAAGAGAAACCTCAGTCCAGGAAAAAAAAAAAAAGGTATGGAGTTTTGAGTGTTGCCTTTACTCCCAACACCCCGGGGGCAGTGGATCTCTGTGACCCCGTCACAGAATAAATAGAAGCAGCAATCCAAAAAGTATTTTTTTTTTACAGACTAGAGGATCATGTTAGAGAAAATAAGCTATTCCCCAAACTCAGAACCAAAGCTAGGTGTTTAAAGTCACACTGGCACTCTTACAGGGCTATCGCAAACACAAAACACCCTACCAAAAAAACAACACTTGCAATGCAGTGATATACACACCCCATTCTAAAAAAGAAAACCACAGAACCTCTAGCTATTATTTTAATAGCACCTTCTGGAAGTTTCCCAATTATCCAGGTAAATGACAAAAGTTGAATCTTGACACTAAAACTACCAAACAAATCAAAATGCAAGTTGTGTAACACAACGACCTGACCTTGTTCCCCACCCGTCTGGCATATAGTCGGCATTCAGTAAAAACTGTTGAGTTACAGCTGGGAAGAAAATCGCATAGGAGCTGGGTGTCCATCCTAGAGCTCCTCCCTAACACGTGGGCGCACACTAGGTTCCCTACCCTCAAGCACAGCAGCACCATCTGCAAGCCTAACGTGCGTTCTCTTGCAGTACAGAGGCCGGGTCACACTCCAGACCCGACTAAAGCACAAAGTACAAGGTCATAAACGAGCAAACCTAGATGCAAAGCTTCCCATCTGGACTCGAGTGCACGCTTCCGAGGCGCGCCTTCTTCACCTCGCCTGGGCTCCCAGGCCGCGCACGCGCAGCGCGGCCTCCCTCCGCCCCTCCACTGACTCGCGCTGGCGTTCTAACTGCTCCCCCTCCCGCCCCCACTAGGGTCCGCAACGGCCTCGCGCCTTGGAGACCCGGTCTCATGTGCTCCGGTCCGCGCGCCAACCGCCTCCTTCCTTCCTCCGCGCCTTGGCGCGGGCGCAGCGCTCCACGTCTGAGGGCCTCGCGCCGGCCACACATCTCTCTGCGCTTCCTCCTCCAATGGAAGCCAAAGCCCACCATTACTGCCTACTCCAACCTCGCGCAACGGGGCGAAAAGGGTGTGAGGTGGGGGGAGGGAAAGCCTTCCCCTCCCCCTAAACATCCCGAGGCAGTAACCTACGGCGGCTATGCCGCCAGCCTGCTACAGCGCTCGGGCCCGAAAGGAGCCGGTGCCTCCTGTCCCCCAACTCCAGCAAGGAGTGGATCAAGCCAGGAGGCGGTTTTGGAGCCTGGTCCTTGGCCACGCTCGGCCGCTCACTCACCTGAGGCCGCCATGTTGGGAGAGGGAGAGAGAACGCAAAGGACCCGGATGAGGCAATCACGTGATTATAGCGGGTGCGACGGGCTTGGAGACGCGAAACCAGGAGGGGGCGGGGAACTGAGGACGGAGGCAGAAGGCGGGGCGCCGCCGCGCTAGGTTCGTAAAGCAGCGCGAGGAGGTGGCGCGGCGTCCGACCGGAAGACCTGCGCGACATGTGGCCGGAGGGGTGGAGTCTGAACTGTCGCGAAATCCCACGCTTTACGTTGGGCCCGGCGCGGCCGTCGGGTCGGGTTTGCGCCCCGGGGCGGGGTCTTCCGACGCACAGACTTCTGGGTGTTGTGTCGGCGCGAAGGGCGGGGCCCCTCTGCTGATTCCTTGGAACCGAGTGGGATTGGAATCTAGAATAGGTGTGCCACAATTGATTTTTTTTCAAAGGGAAGATTCTGAGTTTCTTTTGAAGTCACTTTTTGTAAAGGCAAAGAAAATCCAACGTTCTGTAAAGTAGTTCAATTAAACATGCTTAGACGGGAAAGGAAGGAAACATTTGAACATGGACTTTAGTCTCATTTAATCTTTCAATTTACTGACAAGGTCCAGTGCCGAGTACTAGCCACATTTCTTCCAGCCAATGCTCCATTTTTATTATATTTCACTAAGTAAAACTGTTCAACACCAACCATGTGTCATACACTGTTTAACAGATTTGTGGATATAACAGAACAAAACTACTCTGAATAAAATATTACAAATGATAAACCCTACAGGCAAGTAAAATATTACAGATGATATAAACACTAGAGGTAAGTAAGATAAGAGTAAAAGGTGGTTGGATGCAACTCTAGATTTTCTGCTAAGGGAAGTGACGTTTGGAGTGAACCCGGTGGTGCATGCCTCTTGAGGCTAAGGCAGGATGATTGCTGAAAGCTTCAGGCCTTTCTGAACTACATAACGGATTCCAGGCCAGTTTGGTTGACGGAGTGAGTCCTTCCATGCTATTAATAAACATGGATGGGGTGCTGGCTTAGCGAGTAAGAGGGCTTGCTGCTCAAGCATAAATAAGGGTCTTTTTACACACATCTTTTCTTTGTTTTTTTAGAAAAGGTGGCTGAGCGGTGTTGGCGCACACCTTTAATCCCAGCACTCGGGAGGCAGAGGCAGGCCGATCTTTGTGAGTGAGTTCGAGGCCAGCCTGGTCTACAAGAGCTAGTTCCACGACAGCCAGGGTTACACAGAGAAAATCACTCAAGCACACAAGCAGCAAGCAGCAGAGTTGCCTCTTTGTTATGTCTCTTCTTCCTAAAGAAAACTAGGGCTGGAGCGATGTCAAGGAGTTGAAGAGCCCTGGTGCTCTTGATGAAGATGGCCTTCTAAGTATTGGGATTAAGGTGTATGAAATGCTACATCTAGCTCTTTATTTAAAAAAAGATTGTGTGTGTGTGTGTGTGTGTGTGTGTTTTACTTGGCCTGGTGCCCATGGATGTCAGAAGAGGGCACCAGATCCCCAACTGGACTTACAGACTGTCTTAAACTGTCACCTGGAAGTTGGAAACTGAACCTAAGTCTTCTGCAAGAGCAGTAAGCACACATAAACCCTTCTTTTGACTTTGTTTTTCTTTTAAAAAAAAGAATTTTTTCTTTAAAAAATGTTATGCAATGTCTACCACCTTGGAAAGATTTTTAAAAATTTAAACAGGAGGCTGGAGAGGAGTCAGTGGTTAACAAGTCTCACTTTTCTTGTCGATGACCCAGGTTCAGTTGCCAGCACCCGCCTGGCAGTGCACATCCATCTATAATCCCAGTTCCAGGGGGTCCCACACCCTCTTCTGGCCTCTGATGGCTTCTTCTTGCTAGTACACAAAAGCTCACTCAGGCTCACACACATATGTGTAAATTAAAAATTTGAAGTGCCACGTGTAAACAAGCAAATGAATGTAAGGTAATTTGCTTAATTTAGCATTTGAGGTTCTTATAATAAATTTGATGCAATTGTTCACATTTTCTCTTCCTTCTCTTTACTCCCCGCCCTCTTTCCCTTCCTCTCCTCCCTGTTTTTTTTAATTGATTTTTTATTGATATTTATTGAGCTCTACATTTTTCTCTGCTCCCTCTCTGCCTCTCCCC